CTCTGGTCTCTCTTCAGGATGGATTCCTGGGAAGAATGTCTGCTGGGACAGGGGTGTGGCCAGAGACAGATGTGAGCCACCACCCTGCCACCAAACCAATAGTGAATTCTTTTTCTTGGGCCTGACAGTGTCCTAACCTCACTGACCACAGATCTGTACCTGCTTGGCCCCTCCAGGCTTTTCCTGGTGCTGGCCACAAAAGCCCTTCTTGCATGACATACTGGGTTTCTTTTGTGACGGCTTTGGTGGCCAAATATCCATTTCCTTTCCTTCTGGGGAACCTACAGTCTGGTCAGGTGCCTTCTGACAGTGAGTGGCAGGGCTGAGACCAGGCGGTTCCTGCAGGAGATACTGTCCACTCTCTCTCTGCCTACAAGGAGGTAAGAAAAGCTCCTTGGTTTCCAGGGCTCAACTGGGCTCCCTCCCAGGCAGGACAGAGGAGGGGAAGGAAAGTTGTCTTTTCCAGCGTTTCTCAGAAGCCCTGGTGACACCCATATGGACTGATGACCCAACTCAGAAGTCCTAAAACTAACACTGGGCAGCACTGTTCCCCAGTGGACGGCACAGCGTGGACCAAGAGAAGGCTGGTGCTGGCGGGAGCAAAAAGATGCCTGCTTTCTGTCAGACATTTTGACATAGGAACTGAGGCAAAGATTTGTGAAATAATTTCTTGAAGCAGAAGAACGTAGACCCGACACCCCAAGCTGGGTTCCTCCTGTACCACACTGCTCCCCAGGGGGACCACAGTTACCTTTTAGGACAGGCTGCACAGGGCAAATGGGGCCCCTGACCTAGGAAAATGCCTCCTCTCCCCACTGTGCCTCCTTTCATCATGGACAGTAAAATATGCTTGGGGACTGTGCTGCTGCTTCTATTTATTCCCTCATGTTCCTACTAATAGTAGCTCTGGTCCAAAAATTCTTTTGAGACCAGTATGTAGGTATTATACTTCCAAGAAACTGAAACAGCTCACAAAAACATGGATGTCTCACCGAAGTTTTATTCGAATAGGGTCACATCTAGAGTTCTCATTTCAGCATATAAACAACTCACAGTTCAGTGCAGTGCTTCTAATACAAGTCATATAAAAACTGGAACACAACAAATGAGTAGTGCACTTGATAGAAAAATAAATTACACTCTAAAAGCTACTGCAAAGCTTTATACATATAAAAAGTAAACAAAAGTTAGTGAGGTCCTCATAAACATCTATCATATTCAGGTATGAAGATAAAAAGAACAAAAAGGTCTCTGCTATTAAAAAACCTCTCTGATAAGAAATCCTGAGAAGTGACTGAATTTATCATCTCAAGCAATGTGATAAAATACAAACTCAGAGATCCTATGTTTTAGAACTGGGGAAGAATCACAGCTCTACAAATGCCTTAACACAGCAGAGTTCAGCTCAGGGCAAACTGCTTATAATCTAAACAAATTTCTTCATCCTGGGGGCTAGTATGTAAGAAAACTTTTAAAACTTTCTTTTGATCACTGAAGAACCGGAGTGTTTGAGAGGGAAAAAAGGACAAATAATATAAAAATGTGCATTTTTGGTATGTAGAAGAGTCCAAGTTTCTATGCGACTAAATGCTCAAGGGAAGATTAATCAAAAATTGGTGGGAGCTCCTAAAGACTCTCAGAGCTAAGAGACCTATACTTGCACCTGTCCAGCTGCTGCAGGTGTCAATGGAGGTGCAATGCCCTGAAATTCTAGGTGCCTCAAAGTAACAGATTAACGTGCAGAACCATTTGAATACCTGCTTGCCTGTTATCCTAGGCAGCGTTTTACTACTCTGCAAAGCTTGAAATCAGAGGTTAGTGGCTGCTTTGTGAGTCCAGCTTTACTAAGATGCAGCCACCCCTGCCTGTGTGCTGCTGGTCCTGCCCTGGTGCCACCCCAGTATCGCTGAGCAGTAAAGTACCTGCTATCTCAGGTCCTTTACAGAAACACTGCTGTGACCCCTAAGTGATGAGAAGAAACTTCGTTTCTCAAGACACTTAGGTTTTTCTTTATGTAAGTGACTGCCAAATAATTCTGCTAGTAAGACTTCTGAAGGAATAGTAGAACTTTCATTTTGGGACTTGGCTAAGGGAAAACAGAGATACAAGCTTTAGCCAAAAGTGGGAAGCATAAGAGAATAAGCAGTCTAGATCCAAGGAACTACTCAGGGCTTTCATCTGAAAATGTCCACAGGACATCTGTGATTGTGCAAAGGAAAATAAAGCTGGAAACAAAATGTTAGTAGACTATAGGAAATATTAAAATGTTTTTTCTTAAAACAATGTAAAAACGTTGAAGAAATAAGCCCACAGGAATCTAATCATTCCTCTGTTCAGCAGTGCCTTCTGAAAAGCAGAAATGAACACGAGCCCTTCCTCTATGTCCAAAGGCGAAGCCACTGACAAATAGTCAAAAATAAGATCTGACTATTTATTTTGTAAGTTCTGAGGCAGTCTTGGGCAGATAACTGAAAATGTCACACATCTTATTGTAAACCACCAGGCCAAATTCCCTACCCTCTCCCAAGACGATAAAAATGGACTGATTTGGGGTTCCTCTCCTGGGGTGCCTGCTCCCTCAGGGCAAGCACCATGCCCAGTGCTCCCAGGGAAGTGCACGACTCAGGAAGTGCCCTGGCCACCCCTCCTTCCACTTCTGCCCCAGCGTCACCAGCCTGTCTTCTTACCCAGTATTATCTCCAACCTCTCTGCCAGCATCCTTGACTGGTTCACACATGCTTCTGTTCTCATAGACATCTCCCCTCCCTTCCTGCCACATTCACAGACTTCCTGAGCCCCGCCTCTCCCCACCACCACTGCTCTCAGGGAGCAGACAGGATGAGCTGTTACCATAGCTCTGTGCACGGCACCAGCAGGTATGACCTAAATTACATTTGATAGGCACCTAATCCATTAGGACAAATTCAGCACTCAAGTGTTAACCATTGTTTACCATTTCACATCAGGAAAAGGGACAAAATTTTCTTTTAGCTTGAGATTAGAATGAATTTTAACCAAGTCCCTATTTATATTCTGATGGGCAAGAATATCAGTGTACCTGAAAAGATAAAGAGTGGGTGTAGAATATTTTTAATGGCTTAATTCCTAAATTCTAGAAGATGCAAAGTAAGGATGGTGCTACCTCCTAAACTAGATGGGAAATTTAGGCGTTCCAAGCCATAATACCTTAACTACTCTGTGGTTGGCAGCACAACTTTAATCTTGAAGGACACCTAGGGTTGTTAAGACACTGAATTTGATGCCTGGTGCAACATGTTCTGGCTCAAGGCCCTAGTTCTAGGTGTCACTTACAACTGTGAGAAAAATGTGTTCTACAATTAAGAACTGGCAAGAACTCTGCCAATGGAATTCACAAGCTTAGCACAGTAACTAAGCAGAGGCAGCCAGCAAGAGTGTCAACTTTCTTTCCTTCCATAAAAATGGTTTGTGCAGAAGTGGTTCCCAATCTATACAGCACACTAGGAAACAGTGCAAAATTAAAATTCCTGAGCTTTCCTGTCAGACACTAGTGTTTGCCTGAGCATGAGTTTATGCTGTATGGGAGACCAATCCATGGAGTTTTAAAGATTATAAAACTGATGTTCTTTCATGCTGAGCAGCACAAATTAATGCTCAATTACATACACATCACAAGAAAACTAGAACTCAGATTCTAGGAGTTATAGCTTAGCCAGTCCTAGACAACAAGGAATCGTCAACAACGTCACCAGCATGGTTCCCAGACTGCCCTCATTCCCCACAGCAATTGATTTTTACCTTATCCATTCTAAAGTTTTAAAGCTAAATTGTTATTTCTGTATTGGAATTTAAGGTGGATATTTTTATACTTTTCCCTATTTTTCTATGATGAATATATACTACTTTAACTTCCAGAATCTTTTTGTACATGCCAAAAGAGATGGAGAAATCCTAAAGAACCCTAAACTAACACAAAATCCTAATACGAGGCAAGTTCTTTCAGTATGCTATACTGTATACATACACGGTAGGTATTCAAGAAAAATTCCCTCACCACCACCCCCTCTTATTTCCTATCTCTGTTCTGGTATTTTTGTTTTGTTTCAATTTTTTTTCCAGCTTGAAAGCTCTAAATTTATTCACCTTACATTGAAAGGAAATGAAGCCTATATCCACAGGCCCTGATGTGGAGTACTACAGCACTAGGCCTTTATCGCTTGAGTCTATAATGGCCTATATTCCCTACCTGGCTGAGGAAGGAGTGCAGATGCCTGGAATAAATGCCTCAGGGTCTCTTCAACAGTTACCTCCACCCCCTTCCAGACTGAAAAGTTACAGAATAGGTGCGCAGTGCGCATGTGAGTGTTTCCCGCTGGAAGGCAGGATGAAAAAACACATGACAAGCAACTGATTTCTCAGTAGTTCTTCTCAGGATTTATCTTGATATAAATTTGGAATATTAAGATAGCCAGTCCAATAAGAGATCAAAAGTATGGGAGACATTTAAAAACTTTTCTTTAGTACTGTAATAATTGTAAAAAAGCAGGCCCTATGTCTAGCTACTGTGTCCATATCAATTTCCGAAGTTCCTGATTTTCAGGTAATGTATGATAAAGTGCAGTTTCTCTAACAGGCACTCAGATCAAGGATGCCTCAACACTAGAGAGGGAAATGGTAATTTAAAAAGCTGCTGACTACCAGAGACTGCTCATTATGAAGTTGTTAGTTGAATTATGACCACTAGGTGGAGCCAAGAGTCTGAAGGAAGTCTAAGGGGAAGGAATTCCCTTGTTTCAGGAATTTGCAACTTCAATAAAATTATAGAAAGTTAAAGACCAGATATCCTCATTTGGAAAGATGTGCGCTGTGATTAAACGCTTCCAGTTGGACGGAAAATGCAGCTCTTTTTTTTCCATGGAGTTTAAGTCAATCTAGGTAGAGCTTTTTTACCTACAAGTAAAAGACAAGCTCCCCAAACCAACATATTCCAGTGGAAATGGAACCCAGGACGGACTGCTGGAGAGAGGTGAGCATTCCAGTTACAGGTGGGGAGAGGTAGCCCTATAGCTCAGTGGTCAGTAAACACTTCCGCTTCAAGACAGCTTCTTCGGCTGAAGTAGGAACAGAGCTGAAAGAGAGAGAACAGGTTACTCAGTGGAACCATTGGGGATGGGGTTGGAGGAAGAACATTCATGTGTCCACTAGTGCCACGTGGAGCATGTTGAGAGTAGATTACAGTTACTGACCTCAGTGAATATACTGCAACACTTAACCAGCAATGAGATATTCCATTTAATTTTCTAGATAAAATGGTTATTTCATTGAAATAAAATGTAATGACAGTACAATTCCCCCTACTTCCTTGAATAAAATATGCCAAATACAAATTTAACCATTTCTTAATGAGTCAGGGTTAGTATGGATATCAATAGTACTGTCCTGATCACGAGAACAACATGCTCAGGAGATAACCAAGGGGAACAGACTGCTCCACACTTCTTCACCGTCTCAGACAGCTGTCTAGTTCCTATACCAGTTAATCTACTTTGACAGAGCTCTGTGAAAAATAAAAAGACAATGGGCTCTGCATGAGGGTAAGTCTCTGCTGTAGGCAAACCTCATGAGCTTAGATGCAAGGATGTAATAACATCTAAATTGGTTTCATAAAAACTTAAAACAATATCAAAGTATACAGTACAAAGGAAGTGACTCTAAAATATCAAAAAAAAGTAAATTTATAAATGAAGTAGCAGTCACCTGCAGTACCACTCTCCATTCCTACTACATAGAATCAGACAATTTCAACTATTTTTTTTTTTCCTGGTATTTTCCTTCATCCTTTGTAACCCTGGTTCTCAAAATATGGTCTCTAGAATTTGTTAGAAATGCAGACATACAAATCAAACTCTTATTTGATTTGGGGTCCAGCAGCCTGTGTTTTAAAACACCTTCCTCCAGAGATTCTGCCTCATAAGCAGTAAAAGTTCCAACTGTTCTGAATGATGTATGTGTATACACAATGACTTCCCACCACAGCCATGAAGGGTTACCTTTCTTCCGTCCCCCTCACCAGCTCCATAATGCTGTCTGCTTATCTCTTCAACACAGCTATGTGACCAATTTTGATCATATTAATGGCCGCTGTTATAATTATGTAAATATTGTCATAACTATCAGTGTATACTATTTCTTGTTTTGTATAATCTATTTTTCCTGGACTGAATAATTATTAAGGAAAATTTTGAGTTTCCTTTTTTTTTTTTTGGTGACTGCTTAGTTTCCTATACATAGTACTTATATCTAATCTATTTCTAACCTCTTAGGTAGAACCATGGATCATTTCTCAGTACAGATATGTCATATAATTAAAAAAAGAAAATCAAAGGTGGGGCATGTGTTTATTTCTTGGCAAAATCCTTCCTCAAACTCTAAATCCTCCTTTCCAAATATGGACTGGATCCTTTCTAGACCTCTTGGGTAGCTGCCATCTTGAAGGAAAGCAAAGGCAAGTTCCAGATAAATCCCTGCACCTTTCCTCCATCCCACAACTTTCTTTCTATTGGATAATCACCTTATGTTGGTGATTATCCAATTATTAAAAGATGTATGGATACATCTTTTAATAGCTTCCAGAGAAAGCCTGGAGTATGTATTTTAGAGAAACTGTTACGTCTAAAAGTGTACTCTAATCTCACACTTCAGTGATACTTTATCTGGAAATAAAACTCTAGGTGAAAAATTATTGCCTCCAGATCTCAGAAGGCATTGATCCATTATGTTCTAGTTTGATTACCAATCCTTTCTATGTACTCTTATTCTCTCCTTGCTGGAGCCTTATGTCCTCTCAAGTTTCATGATATTCTTTGGTGTGGCCTACTTTCATTTTCTGCGCTAGGTACTCTGCAGACCCCTTTCATCTAGACAGTCAAGTCATTCTGTTCCAAAATGCTTTGGATTCCTTTCACTGACAATTCTCTCCTTCCACTGACTCTGTTCTTCTTTCTGGATCTCCTGATTTATATATTGGACATTCTAGACCTGTCCTCCAATTTCCTTATGTTTTCCCTCCCAGTTATCTTTTTGGGAGACTGCCTCCATCTTCCAAACAGTCTTTGGATTTTATTTTTAACATGGTTAATAATTTCTAAAAATACTGTTTTCTGTTCTTTATTTTAAAAACTCTCCTGTTACTATAGCATAGATGCAGTATCTTCTAAATTTAGATACATTTTGTGAAGTTTTCTTTTATTATTCACATTGACTTTATTTCCTCCTTGTTCAGTTTACCTGTTTTTGTTTTGTTTTGAGACAGAGTCTCACTATGTCGCCCTGTGTCATAGCTCACAGCAACCTCAAGGTCTTAGGCTTAAGCAATTCCCCTACTTCAGTCTCCCAAGTAGCTGGGACTACAGTGCCTGCTACAACAGCTGGCTATTTTTTTGTCATTGTTGTTTGGCAGGCCCACGGTGCATTAGATAGCTCCGGAGTATGTGGCTGGCGCCCGAGCCCCTGAGCTACAGATGCTGAGCCATACCTGTTTTGTTATTTCCTCACACACATCTGATAATCTTTTGCTCTCTCCATGTTTAAGAGAAAAGCTCTAGAATGTGTTTGGAAGCTGCGTATGTATGGGCAAAACTCATCAACTAATGGGGTGTTGGGTAATTATTTGGCATTTCCTAGCAATTAATCAGGGGATACACAAATATTTGTATCTGTAGGTCTTTTCTCTTTGGTTGGACTGTTTCTCCAGAGAATAAACCTCTTATTTTCTCAACTCAGGCATTTATCCTTGGCCAACAGCATTCAGGCAGCTGAGAAAAGAAGGAAAACAGGAAAGCTCACCCTTCAGTGTATGAAATTGAATTAGCTTTCTCTGTTCAGTTCAGAACTTTACTCCAAATGGAAAGTCCCAGATCCAGAGCCTCTCTAGCCAAACTCCTCTAGAGGAAAAACTTCAGAATTATGCCAATGTGAGCAGGGATGGGGAGATGGCAAATGGCTGAAATGAGCATGAGTTCTTTCAACTAATCTTCACATTCTCAGCTCCAGCTTATACCCCTATCCCTGCAAATATCTTGCACCTTCACTTCTTTGGTAAAGGAAGGGTTCTGCAATGTGAATTGGCTCACTTTTTATTTTCACTCCCTCTACTATTCAGGCTTAGATTTTAGTTTACTTCATTCTGTTAAATTTGGTTAGCACTGATCATTTAGCTGCTTCCACAACTTGAAGTCTCTCAATTGCTATTGTCTCCTTGTTCTTGTGATTTTATGCCTTTGAAATACCACATAGAGAACACTCCAAAGTAAATCCAAATCTGTGGAGATGAAGCCCACTCATCATTCTTTAAAAATATAACACCCACACATTAGAAGTGTACAAACCATGACTTTATAGCTTGGTAACTTTGTAAATTGAACACATCTTTGTTAAAAGCATGATGGCTCACGCCTGAGCTCAGGAGTTCAAGACCAGCCTGAGCAAGAGTGAGACCCCATCTCTAAAAATAGCTGAGCGTTGTGGGGGGCGCCAGTAGTCCCAGAGTTGTGATGCCATGGCATTCTACAAAGGGTGACAAAGTGAGACTCTGTCTTAAAAAAAAAAAAAAAAATGTGAAACAGAGAAGCGTGAATCCTGTCAATGGCCTTGACTGGAGACTCTTTTTGGACTGAACATGCGGATGAGAACCTGGCCCTAGCCAGTAACTAATTGTAGCCTGTGATAGATCCTGAAGCAGAGGAACTAGCTAAGATGTGTCCAGACACTTGACCCATAGGAAATAAAATTCTAAATGTGTGTTAAATGGCTAAATTTGTGGTAATTTGTTACACAGAGATGACTAACGCAACTATATTTATGTGATTATCCTACGTTGCTATACTGCAGTTGCAGTTCATTAATTTTCACTGCTGTATTCTAGTGTTTTTCTAGTTGACTGCTAATGGGCATTTGGAAAGTTTTTGGTTTGGACTGTTGTGAATATAGCAACTATAAACACTGTTGTATGTGTATTGTGATGGAAATACATTCATCCCATATATTCCATATTTCCCATATATTCATTGGGAAATACATTCCCAATCTCCATTGGGAATGTACATAAAAACAGAATCACTGAGTCAACTCACTGGGTATGTTTACCTTTAGTAGAAATTGCCAAATCTATATTTTGTTGTTGTTGTTTTTATTGCCCAGGCATAAGAGTAGTGGCATGTTCACAGCTTACTGCAACCTCAAACTCCTGAGCTCAAGTGATCTCCCTGCCTCAGCCCTTGAGCAACTGGGTCAAAAGGCACACACCACTACATCCAGCTAATATTTTTACTTTTTTGTAGAAGTAGAGTCTTGCTATGTGGTTATCCTGCTTACAGAGTTCCAGTTACCCCATGTCTTCATTAGCACTCGATACTATGTTGTTTTCATTTCAGCCATTCTCATGAAATGTAGTCATATCACAAAGTGATCTGCATGTGCATTCCTCAAAGACTTGTCAAGGTGCGCACCATCTCAAACGCTTATTGGCCATTTGGATATCTTCTTGTGAATTGCCTTTTCAAGTCTTTTGCCCATTTTTCTATTGAGCTGTCTTTATCTTATTGACTTCAAGGAGCTCTTTATTCAGGATAGAAGACTTTTGTCATTGAGAGGAGGACAGAGACAGAGACATTATTTAAAGACAATGTTATTTCACATCCAGTAGGACCTCTGTAAGTTGACCACCTACAGGGCTGTAACAAACTGGTCAACATATGGAGGTATGTTGGAACATAAGGAACTAGGCCTTAGTATATATAGTGCATGTCTCTTCTATGAAAATTAGGTCAACTTAGGGAGGTGATCAATGTAGGGAGGTGGTCAACTATGAGGTTCTATTGTATAATAAATTTTATTATGTTTTCTTCTAACAGATGCTTAAGAATTGCAACTGAGAAATAATTTCCTCACCTGGTCACAGCATCTACCAAGAACGGTGCTGGGGGAGAGATCAGCAAGATTCCATCTTTATTACCATGTTGCTCCTTCTCTGCTAAGAGCATTTCATGTCCAGCAAGTCCATTAGAAATGGCACCACTCTGCTGTGGGAGATACACAATACACCTGTATACAGTGGTAGCAACATCCAGCCCGTCAACACTTCAGCTTTCAAACTGAACTTCACTAATGACTATGTCAGTGAGGAAGACGATTTTAGTGATCATGGCTGTTTGTTTTTTTAATTATCCTTCACCTCAGATTTTGATATTCATTTTTGTCAGCAACCTTAAGCATTTACAAACCAGGATGGTTATGCCACTAGTTTGAAGCCATTAAGTTAACAGAATTCTGATAATGACGTCCATGTTTATAAGAAAAAACAAGAATCTCATGATCCCTTTAGTCCTTACTGTGAGAGGGTAACCAGAGGAAAGATCACAAATATCATGAACTTACTGGAACAATCCACCGGGGTGTAATCATGGATGTTGAAGATACCTAAAATAAATTTTATATATGTATTTACTTTTAGGAAAGACTGACTTATTTTCACAATTATATACATAATACTTTCTTCTATTATGAAATACACTGTGGTGAGGTGGAAAGGTGGTAATTCTTTTTTTTTTTTTTCTTGAGACAGAGCCTCAAGCTATCCCTCTGGGTAGAGTGCCGTGGCATCACAGCTCACAGCAACATCCAACTCCTGGGCTCAAGAGAGTCTCCTGCCTCAGCCTCCCAAGTAGCTGGGACCACAGGTGCCCACCACAATGCCCGACTATTTTTTGGTTGCAGCCGTCATTGTTGTTTTTGGCAGGCCCGGGCTGGATTTGAACCCGCCACCTTAGGTGTATGTGGCTGGCACCTTAACCACTTGAGCCACAGGCACGGAGTCGAAAGGTGGTAATTCTTAATGGGCTTCTTGAGCTGACATGGACTTCTGAATCCAAAACTCTTTTCTGCAACACAAATGCTCAGATGCTATACTTTACCATTTAAGAATAATTTTGAGGCTCGGTGCCT